AATCTCTAATTAAGTTCCATTTATAGAATTATTTATTTGAAATTCTTGGATATTCTTTTGGTAGCTCATATAATGCTTATGCATGATACCAAACAAAAACTGATGAAAATGTCTTTGCAGGTTGTGCTGGTTGCCAACTCCCTTCCCGCACTAAATGATGTTACTGCTATGGAGGTGCCTGATATTGTTGCTGAGGCAGCTAAGGTCTGTTTACTCTTGGGTAAAAAACTCTGATAGTCACTCAAACTGCCGTTTCTTATTAGTCGCTAACTTTATTTTTCCAAAGTTATTGCTGAAATTTACTTTTTGTTTCAGTAGATCACTGAGTTATAATCTATTAGTTTTTCTAATGGAAAGTTCAATATGAAGTCCTCTATATAGATGCCATGTCAGAACTTTATTTTTCACGTTGGACATTCCGCTTGAAAAAACTCATAGATTTTAACTGGGCTCTAATAAAGAAGTGAACTTTAGTGACCACTTTGTAGCAAAATAAAGTTTGGTAACCAGTGTGAAATTTCACTATAACATGAGTAATTAACTACTTTTCTTTAACCAGTAATCCTGTGCTCGAGGACTTGACAGTAACTGTCGTTCATTGAAATTAAATCCTGTAGCTTTCATATATCCTATATAGTAGAGGATACATAGGAAAAATGTACTATCAATGAATTTTCAATCGTGGATACTAACAACTCTCACCTGTTTTTGTGCCATTACGGAAAGATAAAGCAACTAAAAAAAGAGTCTTTAAAATCCTCTTACCTTTGGGATAGCATTGGAGATGCATTTTTTTCCCCATTATCTGTCTATTTTCCTTTTTAATGTGAATTTATATACTATACTTCTATAATTTAGAAATACCTTAGTTAAGTTACTCTTTATTGTTTAGTCTATTCTTCAAGATTAACAAGACCTGTGTGTTCTCCAGCACTGTGACATTCTTAGGGGAGCAGCTGAAGCTGGAGGCCTACTTGTGGATGCCATGATCAATATCCAAGATTCTTCAAAGGAAAGCCCGTCATCAGTTCCCCTGATGGTTGTTGAAAATGGGTGTGGGAGTCCCTGCATAGACTTGAGACAAGTCAGTTCAGAATTGGCTGCTGCTGCCAAAGATGCTGATCTGGTAACACATGCTTTTTCTGTTATAAAGTTATTTGGAAGGCGTCCTCTAAATGCTATGAAGGGTTTGATTTAGTCGTTTTGATAAACTTTTTATAGGTGCATTATTATGAAAAGCATTATTCAATCCAGAGGCACAGGTAGTGGGGGGTTGGCATGGGCTATACCCCACGCCACCCCACTAGCCCATATGGAAATTAATAATAATTTGTTCAATTTTGGCCCATATAGCTGTGTACTAAGTCTGAATTCTAACCCAAGCTCAATGCTCGATTAATCAAATCTTGTTGAAGAGGCTACAATTATTAAATAGTATTTTCATGATATTTATGAAACGTGAATTTTTTATATTTAAATTAGACATTTTATTTAATGCGTGTTTGACTAAATTACTTATGGTAATTAGGTAAATTTTATAATAGAAAATTTGTATTGATCAGATCTAAAAATTATTTATTTTAATAGTTAGAGACTCTATACATTACATGTTTTGCTAAGCTTAAAAGTAATTAAATTTTTATTTCTACATATGTTTTCATATATTACCCATTCATACTTACAAGAAAAAATTAATTATTTTGACCATGAAATATATATTACGATCAAAATAAATAACTTGCTCTAAATTTGATCTTGTCAATAAAAAAGAATATTTGTTAAAATTTATTTATTTATAAATTAATCTATATATAAGTTTACTCTTGAAATTGAGCAAAATATTGACATGACGTAAATTTAATTTCTTTGGACCATCATAATTCTTAGTCGATTTTTCTCTTTAGATGTGATTCATCACTCACTATGAAATGAAGTAATATAGAAGATTGTTGTTCATACCAAATAGTATTTTGAGACAATAACATATAGTGATGTATTATTGATTACGTGTTTCAACCAAAGCTTTAAGTTGTTTGAAAATACTGATCATCAAATTTATTTAGAATATATTCATTAAATAATTTCTTAATTTTTCATTGGTGGATATGTATTTTTTGCTTATTCCAATGGTGATTCGGTTAGTTTATATTTTTTAACGTAGGCGTCGATTTTTTATTTGGTAAGAAAATATAAAAAGTTTAGTGAGACATCTTAGGGTGAAACATTTAGAGTTCTTTTATTTCATTGAGTATTGTACACTCATTGTCGTGAATGTCATGAATTTAGCCTCTTGCAACGTGAGTTCATTCGAAAATTTTTAAATTTCAGCCCATTCTAACTTCATTTTTTGGCTCCGCCCCTGACTCAATGGTAAGCCGCGACTGTCTTGTGTTGTGCAGGTTATTTTGGAAGGGATGGGACGAGCTTTGCATACAAACTTCAATGCCCGGTTCAAATGTGATGCTCTGAAGGTCTGTTTGTTACTATTTCACAATTATCGCTAATTTCTTGCTATAGAAGGGTTTATTAACAAGCATGTGCATTTATTCTATGAATCCACGAAGAAATTAAATTCTTACGAGAAGTATAACTGCAAAAGCCTTGTCATTGATTGTTTAAACAGATGTTTCCTGCCATGTGACTATAATTCTATTTATTTTCAAGAACTCGTAATTTCAGGATTGTTGATAGTGTCTCATTTTGGCTGGATCTTTTAATTAATTTGATGAACAATTCGATCTGCAGCTTGCTATGGTGAAGAATCAGCGACTCGCAGAAAAGCTTATTAAAGGAAATATATATGATTGTGTCTGTCGATTTGAACCAGCTTGCTGAATTCCCTCCATTCTGGCTTGGAGTAATGCTGTATCAACATCTTGTATGTTAAAATCTGTATAATTCGTAATCGAACGTCTGGTTTAGCATGGAATTAACCTTTCGACTGCAGAAATTATATAATCGATTGTTGAATTTTTGTGGCAGTTCTGTTTTTCTGTTGTTTCATCTTTGCAGTGAACATAATTTTATATGTCTCAGCACATATGAATGTTGGCATAATTAATCTTAGTTTTTCCAAATGTTTTGTCGCAAATAAGGCAAGTGATTTGTTGTTTTGATCTTAAAACAATATCCAATACGGAAATATAAGATAAAAAGAAAACGAAATAAATAAAAACTTGTCCAAATTAAAAAGTATATTGGACAAGTAGAGATGTCAATAATTGAGAATAAATTAAGGAAGTAATAGGTTAAGTGGTCGAAATGGTAGTGTACCCCCTTGAGGATATGAACATATCAAGTTACGAGAGAGAGAGAGCATGCTAAAAATTAATAAATAACGATTTATGTAATTGTATGCAATATCAGTACACCAAGCTAGAGGAGGGGGGGGGGGGGGGGGGGAAAGGGGGAGCATGTCCCCTCCTCTATCTTCTTGGCCAAGGCAATGATGTCATATTCTATCATCTAGTCCACCTCATTTCCGAGGCGTTGAGAGCACCTCAATACCTCATTGAAGTTCTCTCTAACATAGCTTTGAGCAAACACGTCACCTCGATGCAATGTCCTAAAAAGTGTAAAACGTGGCTAGGTGTGATATCGAAACTTCAAGCTTCACGAGCTTAAGCGAGCCTAAACGAGGTTTACGGGTAAATTTTTTTTTCTTATTTATAATATTATTTTAAACTTTTAATCATTTTAAAAATTATTTAATAATTAAAATAATACATACCAAATATCTAAATTTAAGAATACTATATTTATTTAATATTTTCGACAATTACTCAATTATACAATTTTTAAGTTTTTGAAATGCGAAACCTAGATTATGTTTCATAGTTTCAATTTTCAAATAGATAACTCTTTCTTGAAATTTTTTAACGTGTTTTCATTTGTACTTTTGTACTTATATAAAGTCATATAAAAACTTGAAACTAAAGTAAAATAAAAGACTTTAAAAAAATAATAATAAAAACAACTAATAAAGCGTCACTAAGCGTTCATTGCCAAGGCATGATGTGTTGCTCGAACCTTGTGCCTAATTGGTGCCTAGATGGCAGGCATTGCTTAGACGAGTTTTTTAAAACACTAAAAGAAATTGTTAACATTCTAAACCGTTGAAAACTACACTACTTATAATCCATTTACTTATAATCCACTACTCAACATCCCTTTTTTACATACTCTAAATTATAATTTTTTCACACTTTAAAACATCTTTGAGAACACAAAGTAGAAAGTAGAAAGTAGAAAGTAGAAATACTGAATAGACTGACACAAGTAAGTTTCAAATTTATGAAAAATACACGTTAAGGCACACGTCAACAATGACCAATTCTTATAATATCTGATAATTATCTAGATTGATAATTAAATAAGAACATTTAAAATGAATAATGTTTATAATTATCATTTTCTTAATATTACTCAAAAACGTCTAACACAAAATAGAAACACGTAATCAACTTATTACGCTCTTATTTGGGCTCTATTTCAATGAGATTTTGGAAATAATGTATTTTAAAATAGTAAATTTTTTGGAGAATGTGTGATAAAAAGTAAGGAAATTTTTTGAATTTACATGCGATATTACTTTACCGAAAAATGTGCGGTTGAAAAAAAGAAGGAAAAAAAAAATTAAAATTTTAATGGAGTCCAAAGGAGGGATTCAAATTTATTTAAAATACACGTAAATTTTGACACATTCTTAATGAAAAATTCTTATACTATATGATAATTACCTAGATTAATAAAAAAATAACTAAATTTTAAGATGAATGTTATATTATTGTACTGCCATATTAATCTAACTGTTTATATTTGCATGTGCTTCTTCGAAAAAATTTAAAAATTGTTAAAAAGTTGAGATCAAAGTCAATAATTAATTCTAAATAAATAAATGGAACCCATAATTTTTACAAATTTTTCAATACAAAATTCATCAATTTTACCAAAATCTGTCAAAAAAATTATCAAAATCTTTGTTAAAAAACCATTTACTAAGAAAAAGTAAGATATTACCAGCAGCACCACTGTAGCTAAGAAACCGTCGGCTGAAACAAAACTGGGTGCACCCACGCATGCACGCACTGCCACAAACCCCGTAAAGTAAAACGTTTGGCGATGTTTCCGTTGGACTCCATCTGTTTTTAGTAAGTCCCATTAAATCCCTCTTCTCCAAGAAACTTAAAAGTCGAAAATTAAACATATTTTCTTATACACCCCACAAGGTAAAGGATTGCTCATTTACATAAATATATATATACAGCAGCAGGTTCTTTGAAGGGAGTTCTTAATTTCTTGATTCATTTTTAATGTTCGTTTCATGATTCTTTGGCCTAAAATATATTATCTTGGTCATCAAGAATGTGGTGTCGTGTTTTTATATATTTTCCTTATCAATTTTGAGGCATTGATTCTTTGTAAAAGAGGTAGCTTCGAATGTTTAAAGTTTGTGGATTGTCATTCTTTCACTTTGAACAAGTTCTTTTCTTTCTTCTTCTTTAACAAATGGTCAGTAATTATTGATGCTTCTGGAATTATATATATTTTCTCAACCGCAATATTTATTTATCTCTTCTATATTATTTTTAATATTGAATCTTCAAATTCAAGCTGTGCTGAAAATTTTCTTCCGCCGCAGGTTTTCTTGATTGCACACCAAGTTAACTTTCATCACAAGGTTCTTTATTTCTCTATACTAAGTCTTCCTTAGAGAGCAACAGCAACAGCAACATCTCTTTGATTCACTCTTTCAATGGAATCACCAGATGCCTATTCAAACCAACTCCAGCCTTCAGCTCAAAGAAAGATCATAAACTTTACTCAATTTGAAGAATTTTCCAACAATTCGAAATCAGGGACTAATTATGAAGATCAGATTCATGAAGTTTCTTCAGTTTCTGATTGTGAAAGTGGAATTTTTGGGGTCGACAGTGAGCAAGAAATATTCCATCTGTTCAACAGTGGCTTGATCAGAATTCATGACGAGGACAATTTATACGAGATAATTAAGAAAAAGTTGGTTTCAAGTTTGAGTAGTGTGGGATTGGATGTTAAAATTGAGGCCATTCATAAGAATTCTTTTTCTGGCATTATGAATCAAGCAAAATTCCAGTCTTTTTGTGTTTATTTAAGAGCCACAAAGGAAAGATGTGGGGGCTGCCCAAATGTTAAATATGCTTGGTATTGTGCTTCCAAGAATGAGATCGACAGCATTCTTTTACACGGTTTTGGCCATTCTGTGAATAGTGGAGTATATGGTCATGGTATCTATCTCTCTCCAGCTGATCACCCTGCTGAAAGGTAACTCGAAATTGCAAATCCTTTATTTTATCAAGGAAAATGCTTCGTCTACAGAACTATTTACATAATGTTTTACCTAATGATAGATAAGGTGTCAAGATAAAAGTGGAAAAGTTATTTAGTTGAATAGATTTTGATCTAATTAAATATCGTCACACATCATCTGTTGGTAAACCATTACGTAAATTGTTATATACATGCAGTACAATCATTTTATAAATCATGCTAAGTGTACATAATTTTTGTTGGACAAGATTGTCAGTCAGTTGGCACAATTTTATTGAATGGACAAAAAATAATCAGTCAATTCAGTGTTGCCATCTCATCGTCTTTAAAAATCCCTATACATTTAATTTGTACGAGAATCTTAATTCTTATTTTATTTTAAAATAGACTCGTTGAGCTTTGCAATCTTGGTATAACATCGCAGAAAACGGAGTGAGAGACTGTAAAAAGAAAAATGTAGTCGACCCCAGATTTACGAGGTTCAGTTTTATTTTTTGGGGATTGAGTCTTATTTTGGGATCAAATTTTTTGTGCTGATGCAAAATTTTCAATTTAACAGTATACAGATGCCTGTTACTAATGATGACGATGGGCTAAGGCACCTATTGCTTTGCCGTGTTATATTGGGAAGGATGGAGGTTGTTCGTCCAGATTCGAAACAGGCTAATCCAAGTTCCGAAGAATTCGATTCCGGGGTCGATAATTTGGTGTCTCCTAGAAATTACATAGTTTGGAGCACTCGAATGAATACTCATATCTTGCCAGAATTTGTGATCAGCTTCAGAATTCCATCTAATTTTAAAAGTGAGGAAATGTGTAACATATATGGCATATATGGTACGCTAGAAAGGACATATCGTAATGTGTTGCAACCTTGTACTTGCAGGAAATCAAACGATTCCGCCTCGTCTAAGAGTACCAAATTCAGTATGGATACCGTTCCCGGAACTCATAAATGTACTTTCCAAGTTCTTACCTCCTCAGGCCATCCAATTGATTGCAAAGCATCACCATAACCAGAGAGTACGTATTTAAGCTCTGCACAATCTAAACTGTCTTCAAACATTCCTTCACGTAGAGAACCAAACTCGTTTCGCGTCAAAAAGTATGATACCTGCACGATTTTAACAAACAGGTGGCATCGAGATTCAAATTTCCGATTTCTGCACTTATAGCATGTTGAAAATTTATTTATCGAAATCGTGTCTTTTATGCTGTGGTTTGTAATTTGTATTTCTTATTTGTCGATCTTTCATGTCCAGGAGAAGAAAATAACAAGGCGTGAATTGATTCAGAAAGTGAGATCCATAGCAGGAGACAAGTTGTTGGTTGCAATTATGAAATCTTACAGTAACAAGGTATGGCTTCCTGCAGCCTGATCACTAAATGTTTAACTCTGTCACGAATAACAGGTTAAAAAGCTTTAAGATTGTTTTCTGAATGTTATTCTGTACCAAATTAGCATACATTCATCCATAACAATCGAGGTGGCTGCCACTGGACATCGTAAAAAAGTAAAGATACATTTTTCTGCTTTATGTTGCTCAGTTTCATCACAATGTTTGTCATTGACACAGATGAAAACATCACAAAGCAGCAGCTCAAGTAACTGAGAGAAGAAATTTTGGAAGTGCAAGAGTCTTTTCTTTCGAGATTATTGCAAGTCTAGACCGATGATCAGCCTGTATGTGAGGGAGTGTGTTAATTTCGACTTTAGGAATTTATATTAGATGGTTCAACATGAGCTCTGTAATTAAGCCTCAACTCCTGGTTTGCTACAAGCCTTTATTCCAGAATAATTCTCAATCAGTGTAATAATTTTGTTTGTATATTGAGTCTTCTACATTCTAATCGATTTAGTTGTGATAATTACCCAACTCCATTTTCCTGGTAGTGCATTGCTAATTGAAATTTTCATGTTAGCATTGAATAGTAGCTTGCCACTCTACGCTTCAAATTTTGACTTCATTTTTAACTGCCTTTTCCATTGCCAATTATTTTTTCTAGCTTGATTTTTACATCTTGAAATTATTTCCTCCTCTTGAGGTTTGGAGTAAAGATTTGAGACCCCAAGTCAAAATAGGACACACCCATAAGTTTTGTCCCCAAATTTAATTTTATCCCAACTTGTGCTTATTAACCATTTATGCATATGTATTATTTTTTTGCTAAACGACAGCTCAAGATAAAGATTTTTAATGAGAGCCGAATGTAAAATTTGACATAGTCCCAATACAACTATATTGACAAGGAGGGTCTATGTGAGTCTTACTTTTAGGGATTTACAATCATATATATATATATATATATATATATATATATATATAAGAAGTGTTCTAAAAAGCATAAAGCGTGGCTAGGCTAAACTTTCAGCTTTACAAACTTAAGCGAGTTTAGGCGAGGTTAAGGCGTAAAAAAAAAAAGTTTTCTTGTTTATAATATTATTTTAAATTTTTAATCATTTTAAAAATTATTTAATAATTAAAATAATACATATTAAACATCTAAAATTATAAAATACATTATTTACTTAATAACTCCTGCCATTAGTCAATTATACAATTTTCAAGTTCTCGAAATGTAAAAATAAAAATATTTTTCATAGATTCAATTTTCAACTAGACAAATCATACTTAATAGATCCATATGAACTTCATATATGATTTTGACGTTTGTAATAAAATGAGCCTCAATACATAATTACATAATCTAGATAACACCAAAACTTAAATCTTATTTAGCTTTTGTTTGGCCCCTTTCTTTCAATTTTTAATGTTTTGAATATTATTATTATTTTATTTATTTATTATTATTATTATTTTTTTTTTTAAGAATGTGTGGTCGAAAAGAAGGAATAATTTTTGGTTTACCTATAATATTATTTTATGGAAGACGGTGTGGTTGAAAATAAAAGTGAAAAGAAAAAATTGAAAGAAAAAGGGGGCCAAGCGGGGGGTTAACTATTTAAATAAAGTCATTTTTAACTTTTGTTCAGATAAAATATTTTAAAAACTTGAAATTAAAGTCAAATGAATTTTATTTATTTTTTAAATAAGAATAAGCTAAAGTCAAATAAAAGACTTTTTTTAAAAAATAATAATAATAAAGCGCGTCTACTGAAGACAAAATAAACGAAGGAAAAAATTCCTGTCGGAATTGAGAAAAAATCATCTAGGCACGAAGCGAGGCGTTTTGTTGGGATTCGAGCCTAAACAACTTTTTAGAACACTAATAAAATTAAAATTAAAAAAAAAAAAGCCAGCAAAGATATCTAATACAAAAAATAAAATAAAAAATGGTGGAGAACAAATAAATAAACCAATTTTATTATATTTCAAGAACATATTTCGAAATATAGGAATAGATGTAGCTTTAACGCCACTATTCCTAATAAAACACAAGCATATAAATACAATCATGCAACTATAACAAAATGATCCCAATTGCAATTATATTAGCTAAGGTCAGAGCATGGCCATAAGTACTTAAAATAGACTTCTGAAGATTGGCACTGACATAATTAACTACATTTGGCTTTGAAGTAGTTAATAGGACTCGACTTCCTTCGTCATCTTTTGGTAATAATCTCCATACTAAATCCCAGACCTTAGTATCCCGTACGTTATCCATTACAATGAGGTACTTGCGACCCTTTAAACTTTTGTACAAATGCTCGGATAATTGTTCTTCTCTTGCTTCACACATAACATCATCAAGTTGTTTTATCGATTTAAGGAGACCAATCAAGATTTCTCTCTCACTATATTCTTGAGGAATCGTTATCCATGCACGAATTGGAAAGTGATATTCAATAAGTGGATCATCAAAAACATTTTGAATCAAAGTAGTCTTACCACAACTGTCCATCCCATGAATTGTGACAACATTGAGCTTTGACGAGTAACTTGTCATCCGATCCTTTATATGTGTCAACTCATTATTGGATCCTAGCACAACAGTCTTGGCTTTGGAAGCAAGTTTTGAGAGGTGAGCTCGCAGAAATTTTCGAGGCTGCAGATGTTCTAATGTCATCTTAATTGTCATCACTTCTTTCGTGATGGAATCAGTTTCTTGTATTATTTTGTGTAAGCGTTGATAATGCTTATCTACAATATGATGCTTCTCTCCAGAGAGTATTTGCCATAAAGACAAATTTTCCCTATAACATTGAGATAATTGTGAATAATTTGAGATGTGAGATTCAATGATATGCTGTGCTGCAAGAGCTGCATTTCTGATTTTTGGTTCAAGAATTTCGATTGCTTCATTGCCTGTTTGTGAAAAATGTACAAGAAAATCTGTCAAGAAACCAAGATTTTCATGGAAAGATTTGATTTCTTTCTTATTGAGAAGAGTTTGAAGTTCATCACTATGCAGTATGACTTGCTCATCGAGAGTCTGCATAAGAGAAACCACTGCAGCATGAGCCATTTTTGATTGAGGCAGATTCAAAATGTTTGTGAGTTAGTGGAAGTGGATGAATAATTCAAGAGATTGAAGATTTGATATGTGAAGGACATAAGAATAAGCAGAAATATATAGAAGAGGCTGAAGAGCTGAAGAGAATAAGATTTATGCATGGATTAACTCTTGTCAACATATTTTTTTGTCAACTTCCAGGACCATTAGACCAGTTCAAATCAAAATTTTGCAAGTGTAAACTTATTTTAGATTTAAGACTGGGTTTTGCTACTCGTTGAGGGTTTACATTTAAGACTGGGTTTTGCAAAATGGCCCAAGTGGCCATGGTCAAGTGGCAATCCTTTAAAACTTGCCACTTATCAATTAATAAAATTGTACAAGTGTGTGATAAAAAATAAATTTAATCATTGAAGAGATATATTGCAGAATTAATATAAAAAATAAATCTGACATGTACTCTAAAGTGATATTAAAGGATTCAACTATTTAAAGTATCTCCAACTTGAAATAAAATTTAAGTTCAATAATTAATTAATTGTTCATTTAGTTGCAATCATATTGAGCGGCCATGTTTACAAGTAACGCAACCTTTTTCCGACCTGCTGGCAGCTGCTTTTCAAAAACGGTAGAGTACACATCTTACCTATTAATCAGGCTTGGTCTCTTGTACTTAATAGTTATGATAAAAACTTCACGCTGCTTTATCCTATTTATTAGGAGCTAGAGAATTGTAAATTTGTAATATTGTAATTCTTTTATTCTTGGTTATTTTAATAATTCGATTCAAGTTAGACTTGATTACGTTTAATCTTGACTCATTTAGCCCTTGTTTGGTAAAAATTAAAACTTTAATTTTAATACAAGTCAAAGTCAATATTAATTTTAACCACATGTTTCATGAGTTTCGTAACTTTCAACCACACATTTCATCTACTTTTATCAAAATTTACTAAAAATTTGATTTTAATATCTTCAAAACAGGGGCTTATATTAAAAACTATGAGTGATAATTTTGATTGGAGATTACTTGTAAAAATCTATTTGCCCGAAGATTTTGATTTTTTCCCCTTTCGAGTTTTCTCCAAAAATTTCAAAATTCCAAACAAAATAGATCAACATGTCCTCTCTCTCTCTCCCCCCCCCACCCCCCTCTCTCTCCCCCCTTGCATATAAATATTTGTCTTCTCACTCCGCATAACACAAGTAATTCAGACTTCATTTTTGTAGAACGATCTGACCATGATATTTCTGTAAGATGTAATTTCAATTAACTCCTTTTTCATGAAAGGATTTTGTTGACCCCAAAGAGCGTTGCCAACAGATGCCGGTCCCACCCGTGTACACGTGGGCGAATGTCCAACACGCTAAGACACGTGGACGATCTAAAACGAACGGTTCAAAGGGCGTAGGAGTAGCCCAACGATGTGGGACGGTGAGGTTCGAAATTCGGCGGGTTGTTGGTGATCCAATTGTACAATAATTACCAACCGGTGTTCGTCGATGTATGTGTAAATGTGTATAAACTCGATTTGTATATTGTAACTAAATGAGAGAGAGTTGAGTAAAGTGTAGTTCTTTGTATTGATTCTTGCATTACCATTTTGATGTTACATAAGGGAAGTATTTGTAGTGATACATGTGAAATGGGAGCCCTTGGATGAGGTGGCACGTGGCCTCATCTCTTTGATTCAAACATCTTATCCTAGGTATGGGGCTAGACTTGCTAGCTTGCCCATACTAGTGACAAGACTTGACCTTTAGGCTTATGACAAACGTTCCATCAATCATTCGAATAAGATCTTTGTGTGGGCGATCTCTTGGGAGAAGTGACAATGGAGGATGCCCCCTTGTGGTTCGAAGGCTCCTGCATCAGCTCCGGGGCGTCGGCCATTTCATACGATACTTCCACTTGAGGGCTTCAGCTACCTTCAACCAGTTTTAGCATCATGGCTTCGGGTCATAGGCCTCGGCATGTGGATCT